AGATTTAATGCACCTGAAGCATGAAAACTCTAAAACACATCTTCATAATTCGATGGAATTCGCTTTATTGGAAACTGTTAACATCAGAGCTCAGTTAGATTCAGCATATTGGAGAAATATACAACAGCATAATGATACCGTTACAAAAAACTATGTTATATCAAAAAGAATCGATTGTATAAAATTTTGCGGAGCATTTGAATTGGCGCTACGGGGCCACGACGAAACCGATAGCTCCCAAAACCCGGAAATATTTCGTGGACTGATTAATTTTTCTGCTGAGCTTGATACAACCTTAAGCGAACACATAAAAAATGCTTCACTATTTAAAGGAACTTCGAAAGAAATACAAAACAATCTACTGGATTGTATTCTTGAAGTTTGTCATGAAGAAATGATAAAACAGATTAACAGAGCCTCGTATTTGGCGATAATAGCAGATGAAACAACGGACATTTCGGAGAAAACCCAACTGGTAACAATTTTCAGATACGTATTTAACGGCAAACCAGTAGAACGTTTTGATGTGACGCTGATACTCTCACAAGACATATTTTGAGCGTCGTAGATCCATTAATAGGAAATGTCCCTAACAAACTGATTTCACAAAGCTATGATGGAGTACAGACAAAAATTAAACAAAGATATCCATTTGCTCACTACGTGCATTGCTATGCGCATCAGTTAAACCTGATTATGTCCCAAGCTGCTTCCGCAAATGCTCAAGTTCAGGTGTTCTTTGGGGATTTGAAAGATATTCCGAGATTTTTTAATAATTCTCCTCAACGCGTAGAGGTACTGAACAGAATTGTAGGGAAAAAATTCCCCAAAGAGCAACAACTCGTTGGAATTTTAATATTCGAACAATAAATGTAGTGTTTGAGAACAGAGAATCACTCATTGAATGCATGGAAGAAATAGAAGAAAATTTCACTAATGAAACCGTTTGCAAGGCAGCTTGCGGTATTCGCCGTATGTTAAACGATTCTGTTTTCGTGTTTTGGTTGACATTTTTTCATCATGTCGTGCCTCACGTCGACATCTTGTTCAACCAGTTGCAGAAGAGAAAAACCGAGCTAGCGCAAATTAAAACGGCTATCGATAATTTTGAAAAATGTATTGTTGATGTGAGAAATAAAATTGATGACATAATAAATGAAGCCAAATATATTTGCACTGAACTCCAAAGCAACAAAAGGAAACGACGTAATAATAGCAGTAACGATCACCGAGTTGCCGCATTAGAAGTATACGACAATATAGTGAATTCAGCAAATGGCAGATTTCAATTCAAAGATCATTTGGTAGCCGCATCCCATTTTTCCCCGAACACTTTGGAGAATACTGTGGTAAGTTTCCTGATGACAAGTTGGAAACTACCTGCTTGGCTTATCCCGAATTAGAAAAAAAGTCGTTTAAAGACAGAGTTGTCTGTTATTTATGCACGGAATGATTGCCGAGAGTTACATGGAACTCTGTCTCTTTTGAAATTTTTGATATAAAATAGTTTGGAGGAAACACTAAAAGAAACAAAAAAGCTATTAGAAATTATTGTTACAACTCCTATGTCAACATCAGAAGCTGAGCGAAATTTCTCAACATTGAAAAGAATCACGACCTTTCTTCGAAATGCTATGACCCAGGATCGCCTTACAGCGTTGTCGATGCTGTCCATTGAAAAGGAATTTATTTCGACTATGGAGAATTTCAACGGGAAGGTGATAGACAAATTTGCTGCCAAGAAGGAGCGCAGGATCGAACTGAAATAAAAAATAGGTAAGTTCGGATTTGCAGAACACGTGTTTTATTTTGCCACGAGCCGCCACTGCTGAGACTGTCCATTAGAGAAGAGTCATCGATCAGTCGGACAGCCCTCCTCTAAACAACATCGAGCTAGGTCTTGTGTGGACCGTGTACAGGGTGAAATGGTGATGTGGAAAAAGGTACTTCTTGGTCCTAAAGAAATAGCCTAGCTTTTTCGCAGTAGCTGCCTCTATTGACAAGATGTGTTCCTGGTGATCTGGACCTGCCGAAATAAATAGCTCTTTGGTAAAACTCGGCCATCGATCAATACCGGATGGGCGCCAGGACGCTTTTTGTTCGTCAAGGCACAGTACTGTGTTTTGGAAGGATTAAACTGTACAAGATTGTCGCGTTCCAGGCCGTGATAACCTCCAGATATCTCGTCAGAGAGGAAGTCGCTGCTAGTCTTCTTTTCTCCAGCTCATCGGCAGAGATCGACTTGTCACTCTGAATTCCTGCTTGTAGAGTGCTGTCATCATCAAAGCTCTGAATTGGATTGACCGTACAGGAAAGGAGGTCGTTGATATGTCGGAGCCAAGACCAATCCCCGGGGAACACCCGCGTTGACGTTTTGGGATAAAGAGAACTATGATGGATAACTTTGATATGGCCATTTCTGTGAAAACATTTCAAAGAGATTTAGAAAAGACATATCAGCTCAGTCTTTGCACATCGCATCTGCAATTAGTTGATTTACAAAGGTTGCGTATCTTGCGTTTAGACTCTGCTAAATCGGCAAAGTACGCCGAGTACAGCGCACAAACCACATACTTGGATTCATCCCCAATCATTGAAGCCCAGGGATTGTTTAAACTTTTCTCATAGGAAACCTGAAAGCATTTATAGTACTTTGTAGGGCGTTTTGACCAGCAACTGATACAAGCAAATTAGACGTTAGGTAACTTTGGGCGTTGAATTCGTATGTGATAGTTAAAATGTCCTGAAGTCGTCGGGAGTTGAATTTGAGGTTCGAGGTAAAAGATGGGACGTTTGGGACCCAGTGACAAATTAACATCGGATTCGGAATCTACGCACTCAGGTTACCAATCATGTTGTTTGTACACTTCCGTAGTTCTAATGTAACCACAAAGAAATCGTGAAATGCCGCGGGGCCTGATAATTTTACTACAGGTCACAGGCACGCGGGGGTTTTTGAAAATATTCTTATGAAAACTCTAAAAATATCATAGAACATTGTAAGGTACACCTAGGTGGTTTTGGGCGCTGAATTCTAATATGTCTAAAAATGTACTGAAGTATCGTGGGGCCGACTTGAGGTAAAAGTCGATCGGTTGGCACCTCTCGTAGGTCATAGCGTCAAACTGACGTTGATTTCAGAATCTACATACACGATTTACCCATAATACGAGCTTTTGTAGAAATCACAGATACGTAGACATTTTTGAAAACGTTCACACTGAAAACCATACACTTGGAATTTGTAGGTCAAAATTTCCATTTTTGTCAGCTGTTGTTACAATAGGGAATATGCATGTTTTTTATTGTATTTCCAGTCGACTATTTACCACAATATAATACCGTAAGCTCATATTTCATTCATGGAGATATATGACTTAAACGTCACATTTTTTGCACGCTCCGCAATGACGTGACAACCCATAGTTTGTAATTTTATTCTACGTTTGGTTAATTTGTTTGTCATGATTTGCTGCAAAGTTTTGAATGGTTCTATTTTTCCATTATAGTTAGATGCCTCCGTGGCGGATTCCGCATCAACGAGCGCTCTTTGGTACTGATCAAACTGATAGGTTGACAATCAACGACAATGACACAGAATTAGCTGTTCACCTGCCGTTATCGTGATGTTACGTCAATAGCGTTGCGTTTCGATATTTTAAATCTGCCACGTATTTTCCACGTTTTTTTTAATTTTAAATAAGTATAAAATATAAGGTTGACGGGGGCTTTCTGTAGCAATATAGCGTAGTGGTTTTGATGGAACCTCCTATGGGAGCGTTCTAAATATCTGTATAGTCAACTATGAGCTCCGTGATCTAGAAGAAACCTTAGTAATTTTATAGAGATTTACTAAAAATCGATGTGAATGAAAGCGAAACCCATTTTTTAAATTTGAAAGAGTTTTTATGTCATTCTGTAAAAACTGCTTCTAAACACATTCATCAAATTGAGGTCGAATCAGGAATCTACGCATCCAATTTACCAGAAAACGGGTTTTCGAAGACGTTACAGATACGCACAGTTTCTCACAAAAATAAAACGAGAAAAATTATAGTACTTAGGACAAAGTTTCAATCTTCTCCAGTCGTTGTTACAAGTAAATTAACGTTTGTAAACAATTAATTTGGAACGCAGGAGTTGTCGGGGGGGGGGGGGCAAAATTTGAGGAAACAATCGGTTCCTAGGCACTTTCTGTGAGTTGCAACATAAAAGTGACATCTGAATCTGCGCACCCAGGGTAATCACAAATCCACGTTTTGAAGATTTTTCTCATATAAAACAATTTAAAGGAATTTGTAGTTCAAAATTTAGTACATTCTTTAGGGCACTGACATTAAAATATGACCGACATTTGGAGTAGATTATTTGCCGCTTAAGACCTTGATCGTAGAGTAAAAATTGGATTCAGAATTTACGCACCCGAGTTTCTCGGCTACGCAACGGTTTTTTATAAATTATCGCATAGAAAACCTTAAAATATTATAGGACTTTCGGATTTATCAGAAGATTTATCATGCTGAGGAAAACTGTCAAGCATAACGGTTATCTTATTTTTATAAGGATGAAAACTACAAAAGTGCGACGATCGGTGATACTTTCGGACGTTCTCGAGACACGCTCGCACCGACTGGCCGTCGACGATCTGGCTCTGTTCTATCGCTAAGTCACAAGCTTTGCTCCTCGGATGCCGTCGAGCGATGAGACTGACAAACTTAGGCCTCCCAACCTAGCCGAGTCGAACTTCGTACATACAGAACTGGGGGTACTGATATTGCGTAACTGTCTGCTGGCGAAAGTTTTTTTCCAATTCTACTAACCTTAGGCAGTTAAAAAATCGGATTAACAAGGGGTATCTAGTATTTTCATAGCAATCGCAGAGCCCCGGTGTCTAGGCTTCTGCCTTCATGGCTGCTTCGGTATAAAGAAAAAGGATAGGAGCTAAAATATATATCACAACCATAGGAACAAAAATTAAGATATCAGTATTCTGCACTCACCATATCCTTGAGGTCCATCACCAGCTCATTCTTGCCACGTTTCTTCTTCTGACCAGCACCACTTTGCTTCTCCTCTTCTTGACCACCTTCTTTGGCATCCACCTTCTCCTGTTTGATCTGCATGATAGGCACATCACTCTCGTCTGAACTAGAACTGGAATCTGAGTGCTCCCAATGCTTACCGACTGCCCTTAACCCAGGAACTGACCTCAATGTCCTCGTCGGAGGCTCAGGAGTACTCTCCCTGCTACTCTTGGAAGGCTCTTTCTTTGTCACTGCCATTTTTTGGGCCAGTTTCAAAGACTCGACTTTCGCGATGTATTCCAAGCGACTTTGTTCCTCCATGAGGTCAAGGAGGTTTCCTTTACCTTCATTATCGTATAAACATTGAACCTTAGCTAGTGCGTTTAAAGACGCGACTCTGTGACGTTTCGGTCCATTCCAAAATCCGAAGAGTTTCGTTTTACATCTTTGACCATCAGTATCTGGATCTTTGCTTTTCACTCGTTTTTTTACGATTTGGATCTTTGGTTGAATCTTGAGCTTCTTGTAAGCGCGCTTCTTTACAACAGGTTCTTCTTTATCTTCTATTTCTGTTTTGATCTTGGCCGGTTCCTGGGGTACAATAGGATCAACTGTACCTTCAGGTGGTGGACTAGGTGCTTCAGTTTTTACCACAACTAGTGGAGGTGCAACTTTTACGGATGACTTTTCAGTTTTTAGGTCCTGCTTTTGTTTTTGCACTACCTTCTTTGGTTTGATAGCTATTTTTGATTCAACGCTTTTCTTTTTTATAGGTTTAACGTTTATCGGCTTTTTTCTCTTCACCACTGGTTTAAGTTTAACCTCCTGAAGAAAATGTTTGTCTTTGTTTTCTTCAGTTGATTCGATTTTTGTATCTTTTTGAACATTTTCAACGTCCAACCTCTCAATTTTGGCAATATTCTTCATCTTCTTTATTGTCGGTTTTTTCACCGTTTTAGGAAGCTCGGTGTCAGATTCATTTTTGATTTTCCTCGGTTTGCTAATTGGAGCTTTTCTTACAATTTTGACAGGTTTATCAGGTTTAGCAGTCCTTTTAGAAGGTTTCCTTGGTGATTCTGGGATCACACCAACCAAAATTTTGCTCTTTTTATCGCTAGTAGTCTGGGCACTTGGTTTTTTGGCAGTTTTTGTTTGAACTTTATTTTTTGCAAGATCCTGTTTTTGTTTTCTATTAGCAGGTACCGCAGCAGCTTGCTTAGTAACTGTTCTCGGCCTTTTCACGACTTTTCCTTCCTTGTTATTTCGCTTGTTAACCCTCCCAAGTAGATTCAGTTTATTCTCTAAAAGGATCGGTTTTATAGGGGTCAGTTTTCCCTTGATGACAAAAGATATTGTCTCCGATACGGTGTCACGCACCGGAGGTTTTAAATCAGCCATTTTCTTTTTTCGTGGTGCAGAATATTTTGTGACCACCTTTTTCGGGCTCTTGTCCGTTTTGGTCGGAGGAGAGCGCATAGTGGTTTACTGCTGGTCACGCGTTCTCACTTTATCCACATTGTTGGAGAATCTGCAAGAGAATAAAATGAGGGTTAAGGATTTAGTAGACATTCAATATTGTGCGACTGGTACAGTTTTTTATTCGAAATGTCGCACAAGATCGATAACTAAGACAGTATGGATATCAAGACCAATATCTTACAGGATGACTGAGAGTGTATATAATCGTGGATGAAACTTATAAAAATAATTAATTAATTAGGCCAAACATGTCTCGCAAAATGTTGCTTGTTAATCACATGGTGTTTAAGTTTAATTAACTGAATAGTTTTTTCTCCATTGACTCAAACAGTTTTTGTCACATGAACACCAACCAAATCGGGTTATGAGGATGTGGAACACGGTTGAAGTATATTTTCCATAGTATGTGGAAGGCGCAAGTTTCGGCCTATAATCTCGAAATTTTACTCTGAAACTTTTTCTAAGTATTTCAATTAAGCAAACACTTTTTGAGATATTTACGTTGCAGTAGATGGTCCCAGGAGTACCCAGCCTGACCTAGAGATGGCGATAGTTGTTAGAAAAATATCACTGTATTAGAAAGTATGCAACCTATAAAGCATATGTGTCCAGTTTGAAGACGCCACGTTGTTTAAGTATTTGGTTGGCAGCCATCAATACTGCACGTTTTCAGTGAATTTGTGAAAATGGAGAAAATTGGTCATCGTTATGTGGTACAATACTTTTATTTCAGAGGCCTCAGCCAAACCAATATAAAAGCTGAACTGAATTCTACTCTGGGTGAGTCTGCTCCTTCGTTTACAACAGTAAAATATTGGCAGAGTTTAAACGGGGGGGCCGTATGAGCTGCCAAGACGAGCATCGCAGTGGTCGACCAAATGAAGTGACGACTCCAGAAATGGTGAAGAAAATTCACAAAGCGGTACTGAATGATCGTCGACTGAAAGTGCCCGTGCTAGCAGACATAATAGGCATTTCAAAACGTGCGGTTCATCGCATACTATCTGAAAATTTAGGAATGAGAAAGCTGTGTGCAAGATGGGTGCCGCGACTGCTCACAATCGAGCAAAAACAGTGTCGTGAAGATGTTTCAATTGAGTGTTTAGCGAAGTTTCACAGCAAAAAAGCAGAATGTTTGCGTCGTTTCATAACCATGGATGAAACATGGGTCCATCACTTCACACCCGAGACAAAAGAACCATCAAAACAATGGGCTCAAAAGGGACAACCGGCTCCAAAGAAGGCGAAGACCGTTCCATCTGCAGGCAAGGTTATGGCGTCGGTTTTTTGGGATCCGGGTGGGATACTTTTCATTGACTATCTTGCACCTATCATGCACCCTATTCACCAGATTTAGCCCCCTCGGATTATTTTCTGTTTCCAAAGTTGAAAAAATGGCTCAGTGGTCATAGATTTTCCAACGATGAAGAAGTGATGTCGGCAGTTAATGGCTATTTTGAGGAGCAAGACAGTTCTTATTATAAAAAGGGTATCGAACTTATTGAACATCGCTGGGAAAAGTGCGTAGAGCTCAAAGGAGATTATGTTGAAAAATAAATACATTTTTTTACAAAATTTTTGTGTTTTCTTCGTTGGGTCGGGTACTTCTAGCACCACCTCGTATTCCATTGCAGTCAAATGGCTGTTCGTAGAGTAGAATAGATATTTTACAATACTTCAAACATGGAATTTTCGGTATTTAGCGTACCTGCAGCATTTTATCTACTATTTAGGATATTTGATTTTCTAATAGGTATTTTGAAAGGCGATAGTGTCAAGAAGTTTTTCATCAGAGTAATTTATCCGCTTACTGATTTTTTGAACAGGCCTCGTTGAATATGATGTATTTTTGACAACAGACAAAATTACAGGTTAGCCGACTTATACCTACTTACATTAACTGAACTGAACATTTAGTTCACTCATTGCTTTTTTCCAGCGACACATCATTTGGGAACATATCATGTAAATCTGATTGAAAAATTACAAAAGACAACTTAGGAAAAAAATAGTACAGTCTCAAAAAATGTGATTTTCCACAAATTCTTAAAAATGTCGATAATTCCAAAACCATGTACGAGCCCCTTCCCACTTCAGTTGGCCCAACTATTGAAATCTTAGTAATTTTCTTATTAAACACAAATAATATAAATTTAGCAGGGTGTTGTAGGTTTAAAATATTAACAATAAATATTTTGATAATATATAGTAGAAAACACCAACTTTATCATCCCTAATCAAATTTGCAGCATAATCACAGCTGTCAGAATACGTTTAAACTAGTTTTGGGTAGTTAAGGTTTTCAAAATGGGTAGAGGAAAGGTTATTAGTGAGAAAATTCGGTTACTGATGATTAAATTTTTTAATTCTGGGAATTCAAACTCAAAAATTGCAACTTTGTTAAACTTATCGCGGTACAGTGTGAGAAATATTGTTAGAAGATATAACGTAACTGGTTCAGTTAATATTAAGTCACGATATGTGAAAAAAAGTAATATCACAAATGCCGACCGAAGAGCATTAAGAAGAATAATCGTAAAAAACAGGCCTGCCCATTATTTACAATTAAGTGCTATGTGGAGTTACGCTGTTGGAAGGAGAATTTCGAAGTCCACAACTCATAGAGAGGCCCACAAACTGGGATTTAGCACTTGCAAGGTAAGTTTTCTTATAAAAAAAGTGAAGTAAAAACCCTGAAGTAGAACAACTTGTTTATAGGCCAAAGAAAAGCCACTATTAACTCCACTGCAAAAGAAAAATCGGCTTAGATGGGCTAAAGAATATAGACAATGGACACCTCAAGAATGGTGTGCAATACAATGGAGTGATGAGGCCCGAACTTTGTGTTGGTGACAGTCGCAGTAGTTATTCGCAAAAAAATGAAGCATTCCATGTTGACTGTCTGAAGAGAAAAGTGAAATTTCCAGCATCCATTAGGTATGGTCTGGGGCAGTATGTCATCAAAAGGAGTAGGAAAACTTCATTTTATTGTTGGAAATTTGGATACCAACAAATATTTGGCAATTTTAGAAGAATCGCTTTTACCAGTGATGGAAGAATGTTTGACATCCGGCCAAGATTTTGTGTTTCAGCATGATGGTGCAGCGTGCCATACCTCAAAAAATGCTATAAAATGGATGGAAGAAAATAATGTACCACTTTTGAAATGGGTTTCTGGCAGTCCAGATCTGTCATCTATTGAAACTTTGTGGCACGAGATGAAAAAGGTTCTACGACAACATCCTGCTCGTACAATCACCGAACTGAGACAAAAGCTTCAAGAAATATGGGATAGTTTTACACCAAATTTTTGCAAAACTTGGTTAACACTATGCCCCAAAGAATTTCAGCCGTAATAAAAAATAAAGGTGATGTTACCCAATGGTAATCTTTCAATTATTGCTTTGTTAACTTCGCGCATTTATTCGCACATTGTCTATTTGTTCAGATGTTCTATTAGTTATAGGTCTAAGTGATTTCAAATATGTATTTTTTACGACTAGAGTGTATCTAAAATGTTTTTGAGAAAATAAATTGTTTCAGAAGTAAATAGTTTCGTCATGTTTAGTTTATAAAGGCATATTTTGGTACAAATCTTGAAGTGGGCCAACTGAAGTGGAAAGGGGCTCGTACAATCGAATTGGGACATAATATTGTTTTTTCTGATTGCAAATGACCCACTATCACTCCCGTTCGTTTGCACCATGACTTATAAGATTATTATCGAAATGAACGCAACAAGAATGCTTGATCGGCAAATTCGTTACGAGTTTTTTGAGCTACATCTCGCATTCTGTATTAAAGTAGAATCAGCTCTACAATCAATCAAGAAGCAACATGCTTATAATGTGTTAGGGCTCAACAATAGTATAATGCCAGTACTTGTCAGTGATCATGAATCCATCACCATTACCTTCCATATTAAAGACGTGATCAAACGCAACAATCCGTTATCAGAAACCTTAGGGGTATTACCTAACGAAAAGTGAAATTATGTCGTTTTTTTCTTGAAATTATGTCGGTGTTTTTTTGACGTTATGTAGGTTTTCCAACAAGACGTCAACTTGGAACCACCTGTCATTCACTTCATGCTCACTTGTAGCAAGCACGGAATGAGCTAATCAGTCAACAAGTTGACACTTTAAAGATTTTTGCCATTATATAGGTTTTTTACGTAATAACCCTACCCGACCGCTAAAAGTTTTGCCATGTTTCACTTATTTCAGTTCACTAAAAGATCAGCAGGGACATTATGTAATAAACCTAAAAAGATATAAAAAAGACGCGGAGATGTCATCTTGCATACTAGATAGTTTTTAGTGTGCAAATGGTTAATTCCACGTTTGCTCGCTATGATCGCTGTTCGCTGAAGTTTAAGTACCACGTATAGCTACAAAACGAGTTCACAACAACTGTACAACTGTGTGCGCTAAGTTAACATCTTGTAGAAAAACCTACATTATGTCACAAAAAACCTAGAAAATGTCAAAAAAATCGACGAAATCTCACTTTCCAAGATAGGTACTACCCGTGCTGAACCCGTATTACTAACTTATGAAGTGACATGTCGCATTTGAACTAGCTGACATTCATTCGCTTCATGTAGCAGGCGCGGAATAAACCAGCGGCACACTAGGGGCTGCACAAGTTGACATTTTACTTATTTTTTTTTTTTGTTATTTTATAGGCATTTTACGTTGTAACCCTGCGGATTAGTGTTGTTAACTGACAGATAAGAGATAACTGAAGATCGTGAGACCGCCCCTTACCGCCATGATAGCCCAACTTGCGAAAGTGCTTATAAGTAAGTTTGTATGTATGTACGTAAATACAGAGACATCCAAATATAACTGGCGATATAATATGTACCTATAAGAAAGAAGCGCGAGAAGCGTGCAATACCTAAGTTAGAGGCAACGTGGTGCTTCTATCACTTTCTAACATACGTATTGCACGCTTTTCGCACTTCCCTCTCGTACTCATTACGACGTCAGTGGTATATAGATTTCTCTGTACCTATGTTCCCTGTATCTTCCATTTTAGCATAGACCTTGGAGACGACACAGACTACCTTTTGTTGCGAAAATAAAACTTGCTAGGGTTGAAATGGGGTGTAAATAGTACTAGGAAGAAACCACTATTTTTTAAGTTTGGGATACAAGTATGGGGTTTTATTATAAGTATATGAAGGTGCAAATGAAATTTGGCAGCTCATGTCAGCTAAGAATCGATTTTGTATTAGCGCCAGATTGAGGGGGACAAAGGCATTCACAGCTTTGTATATCTTCTATAGACCTAGAATTTGGCAGGGAGGTAATTTATAAGTAGTATATGTCAGTTAAGAAAGAATTTGGCAAAACGCCATTAGGGGGATTAAAGGCACTCACAAGTTAGTTGAAAATTCTGTTTCTTCCTTTTTCTGAAAAGAATTGGAGAAGTCTGTTGACAGTCAACCCGAGAGAATACTCAAAGAAGCTGATATCAGTAGAAATGACAGTAGAAATGACACCACTGCTGCTGTTAAAGACGAGGTAGACAACTGGCGACTGTCGAATGATAGTGAACTAAGGAAAATTGAAGTTAAAAAACCGACTGAACGTGCGAACAAACGTAGAGCAAGGTTAGAGTCAACTAATTCGCAATATGACCCTCTTTAGAGTTGGCTCAAACTAAGTACAGATTTTGTTATAAGGCCAAAACTTGGAAAGTCACAATTTTATACATGTTTACCTTTAATAAAACTCCCTACTCGAAAACTGGCATAAAGGTAGCTTTTACAATGTAAAATATGGTTTAAGCCAGTGTGGTAGTTGAAAATGTTGGTTATGTTAACAGTGTTAAGCACACGATTGGCTAGTAAAATCCATTAACTAAAACTAACAGATTCACTAATCAAATTCAAGTGAATAACCAAATGAAAATGGTATGTACCATTTTGGATTGGTATTTACCGATCCGTTCAAGCGAGTGTGGTTATCAGTTTGGTTATAAGATCCGTGACGTCATGAATCAGCTGTTATATGTCATAGTTATCACCGCAAAATTGTGTAATTTACTCAACTCGGGAGTAGTTTTATATCTTTGGTTATTATTTGAAATGTGACGATGTGACGTATGAATTTTGGTGGATAGTGGATATTTCTGTTGTACTTCAGCTTCATTTTTGGGAAACTTGACAGACTGACTTCAGTTGTAGCATAAAGTAGAGCTAGAGTTATACTCATTACTGTTATTGGGGACACTTTAAATCTAGTTTCTATGCTTAAAAAAGTAGGTATCCTGTGTAGCCATATACCACAAGAATATTAAAATATGACCATATAAACTCACTGGATAATGTCCACATACAAAACGGTTTTGCTAATATCTTTTTTCATCGCTTTTTCCTATCATTTCTGCTAAATCAATAAATGTTTTCTTAAACATGTGGAAAAGTTTAGAGAATTGAAAGTCATCATATTAGCTACAAAGCTATGGTTCCATCATTAAAAATTATTTTCTGAAAAAAAAAACATATCTACCATTAATATTATGAAAGGTTTCTTTTTTAAACTTTCCATACACTGTTGCAGGCGAAAAGGCACCGGTTATTAAGTGATAATAAAATGAATAAGAAATTATATGCGGGCTTTTCTAAAATAAACAACTTGCAACAAATCCCTGGTTAAAACCAACGCGATCAAGGGATTCGAGTAACTGACGTCATTAACCAGTGTGTCATCTTAAATCATATTATGACCGCGGTACATAATACATACCTTTTTATTATTGGCTTGGATTTGATTACTGACTGGAGCTTGTAAAGGCTGCCCTAGCAGTAAGCACAATCTATAAGGTGAAACATAATTTGATATGTAATCATAGCAATCAGCATCACCTGTTGGTATCTGTTTCACATCTTTACGTTTATAGCTCAAAGCATAATACATCCATAATACTTACAATGCATAACGCTTTTTTTAATTAGCTGTCAATCGCCACTGACGTACTTTCCATTAGCCTAAACAAATTTGATATGTGCAAGGGTATGGGGCTTTATAGATAATCACAAAACCTTACGGTTTACACGAAACCGATCATGTAAATGTTTGTTGAAAGTGGTATTGTAGTTTCCTCGAATGTGCGTGTTCACATGTGCTTAGCCACACAGCAGACAAGACGTACACCTATTTTCCTGATCGATGATTAAGACGTAAGAACCTTGTAGGTATCGCATGAAAGGAAACAAGGCAGTGACCACCTGCTACCCACAAAATTCTCAAACAAAACCAAAAACGTCCGTGAAATCTTGATTCTTCACAGCAGCCGTACAAATAAACAAATTCTTTGAAGTTTTGTTGGTTGAAAAGAGATGAAAACTATTGTTTACCTCTGGTACAGTAGTGGCGCATTTCGACGTGCTGTATTTTCAGGAATCACTACCAAACACCACAATCACTAAGAAATATCCATTGTCCACAGAGTCCCGCGAGATTTTTGTCACACGAAAACAACGACCGAAGGATATTTTCACGGTTTTTCCGGACGAAAATCGAGATACCACGGAACTGCAACCTCCCCGCCCTAGTTACGTGCTGCAACTTTGACAGGCCACCATTTTAATTGCGCTGTTGCCAGGTGTACTCAAATGACTGTCTTTATTATCATCGTCGAGACGGCTGGGGTTACAAATAAGCTCTTATTGGGTGAGTCTATCATAATCAAGCGGTTGAAAGCATTGATAGCATTAGCTAATTTTTGAGGAGTGCTTATCAATATGAAAGTAGCATTAAAGTTGTTGTTGTTTATTCATTTGATTAGTGTGGTTTCACAATATCGTTACACAATTTATTTCATGTGAATGTTCTATAAGCCGTTTCGTAATAAGTTTTTTTGTGCAGCTTTGGCACGGATGTATCAACAATCCACAATGAGATTAATTTGTGTGGTTAGAAAGTTGGCGCAACTATTTTTTTTTATCTCCGCGGTCTTCATTTCCATACAATCACAGGTCGAAGGGAAAGCTTAACTTTGATAAACAAATAGTGTTTAGAAACAATGAACAGGCTACTTATTTCAAACCCTTTATCCATATCGTTTGCCCCCTATGTACGTGTTCGGGAGTTATGCGCTAATCTTTTCTCTGCGATGCTTATCGGGTGTGTTCTCCGATCATATGGTATTATTCTAGGATCGTTGTGACTCTCGATTACGTTCCGGAAATACGGAGTGAAAAACAATAATAATAATTTAAAAACAAAACCGAGATCTAAAGCTTTGTTGGTCAACAAAAGTTTAAAATTACCACCTCTCCCTACAGGATGCAACAAGAATCCAATCTTGTTGTTTTCATCTGATGGCAACCGTCTCCACGACTTCCAAAAACGCCAGTGCTTAAGTTTTAAATCCACTACATAAATCTTTACTATTTTAAAATAGGATGGGCTAGTGTAAAATAATGACTTCAGATGGTCTTTCGGAAATAATACAGAGAGTTTAATCCCGAGAATGACGTGTCGATTCAACGCCTCAAAAATGATTTTGTAAAAATGTTCAGTCTTCGAAGCAAAGCATATGAATGAATGAATGAATCTTGAAATTAGAGGCATTCCGGCCATCATAAGGAGCCAGTGCATAGGCCGCTTAAGCGGGCCCTTATGCACCTCTACAATCCTTAGATCACAAGCCTCGCCCTTTTAGCGAAGTTGAGAATCGCCTTGAGTCCAAGCTCCTTGACGTCCTGAGGGTCCAAAGTAATGGACCCCAGTATAGTCTGCCTATAGTAGCTCAGAACTTCACAGCGACACAAAACGTGCGCCGAGGTCTCTTCCTCTACTCCGCAGCGTTCACACAAGGGATCCTCAGCCACCCCCATCACGTGCAGGTGACGCCTTAACGTGTTATGGCCAGACAACAGTCCCACCAGTAACCTTAGGTTGGCTCTATCCAGGGATAGGCAGAAGCGTCCATCCTTAGCACTGGGCCCGTCAATGAGTTCTCGTGCTTGGCGGAGATGTCTGGAGATACTTCTCCATTTCTGAGAGTGTTGTCCTAGCTCTATGCGCGGTCACTCCTAGAGCTGGCTCAGGACCAACGAGCTTACCTCGCTGCGAGGCAATCCAGAGCCTCCCTGCATTGCAATACAAGACTCGAAGTAATCTTACAGGCACTTAGTGCTTTCATTGCAGCCTGGCTGTCGGATAAAATTGTTATTCTTCTCCTAGGCCCATCCTCCTCCAGATTGTGAGATACACAAGCCAGAATCGCAAAGATTTCCGCCTGTAAAATGATGGTGTGTCCACCGAGAGGCAGAGATAGCCTACTTCTAGGCCCAGAGATTCCAGCACCTGAGCCCTCTTCGGTGACCGAGCCGTCCGTGTACCAGACCTGCCCGCACACTCCGGAGAGTCCCCGGCTACCGGCGTCCCACTCCTCCCTCGTTGGATACTCCACAATAAACTTGCGGTTGAAGCGATATTTAGGGGTAATACGATCACCACTGCTTAGAAGGACGGGGTCCTCCCTTTGTAATTCGACTAAGATGGCAGTATGCCCCTTGACAGGATTCAAGAAAGCCCAGCTGCCCTGACTCCACAGTCGATGAGCGACTACCCTCGCTTCACCGCGGATCACCAGATCCAACGGTGGGAGATCCAACAGAGCTTCCATTGCACTCAATGGCGTTGTTCGCACTGCGCTTGTAGTACTAATACAGGCCAAACGCTGAATTTTATTGAGTTTGGCCTTAGTTGTCTCAGTTCTAATGCAAGGCCATCAGACCAGGGAGCTGTACAAGAGAGATGGACGTACTATCGTCGTGTAGAGCCAGTATACCACTTTGGGTTTAAGCCCCCACCTTACCCCGACAACAAGTCTACAAGCCCACATCGAATTGCGAGCCTTGCTAACCTTGTATTCCACATACTCTCTCCAGTTCAGTTTGCAATCCAGGATAATTCCCAGATATTTCACTGACTGGGACAAAACTAATCTAGTCCCAAAGAAGGTCGGCATGACCAGCCCGTCAAGCCTTCTTCTCCTAGTGAATAGAATCAGCTCGGTCTTTTCAGCATTAACAGAAAGATCGACTTCCCTACACCACGATTCCACGGAGCGCCCTGCATAATTTCCGAGACTGTTCTACAAAAACGCCCCCTAACTACTATGCTTACGTCATCAGCATAGGCTTGCGCGCAGACCCCCATAATCCTGAGCCTAACGAGGAGTTCGTTCACAACGATATACCACAGTAGGGGTGACAGAACTCTGCCCTGAGGGCAGCAAAGCATATACTTCTACTAATAATTGGTAGAACACATCTGGTTGATACGTGTTTTAAATTGCATAAGGGTTATCGACAAGCCAAAGACAAAAAAGCGACCGTAATGTCCAGTTTTATAGGTGCAGAGCTCCAGAGAATTAAACTGAGAAACAGCAGCAGGACCATACACACTTGCTTGCTTCCCGTTTTGTTTGTCTTCAAGGTTAGACCTAAGACTTATACCACAGCGATGAGCTGCTAATGAGCCCGAAACATCGCTGCCTGCGGTTGTTCATGGTTACAGAGATGGCAAGCAGATAGGTTCTAGGAATCAAACTAATTGACATTACTATGGCACCCGCTGATTCTCTTTGATCTGTTCCTCCCTCTCTTCCTTCCTTTTTTCCTTTTCACTGACTTTAGTAGGTACCTCACCAACAGATCTCTCAAGCCAACTGACCGACATATCTCTCTGACAATCCATTCATAACACAAACATCGAATAACGCTTGTACTTTCAGAAAGGTAGCAGCAACCGAAACATCAGTAAAGTTATTCATTGATCATAATGTTTTTATTTATTGACTCGAGAAAACGTAATTAATTAGCAACGCTTCTACCTCCATCTACGTCGTCAGGTTATTCATCAGATCTGGCTATCCCTCACAATCGATATATGATTGACATTTCTTGGCTTATTGGCAATGAATTCTTAGAAGCCAGAAAAATGAAGTAAAGCTGGCAACGTCGGTGATATCTGAGTGTAGATTTCATTATCACTCACATAGTGCCATCTCCTGGACACCAGCTAAAGCAGGATATTCCGCTACTGGCAACTGAGGGTATGACGATGCGTATAGCTGGTTGCCTACACATATATATACAAAACAGAGAGATTGTAATGCACGATGACGATGCAAACCCATACGTTTCGAAAAAGGGTTTATTAAGGATCCAAGCTTTAGTTGTACAAGCCGTCCAACCGTAAATTCAACAAATGTAGAGCTACTATGAGTTCCTACGTAGACATTGTAAGCTGTCTTGTCGATTTATGTTGGTGCGGTCAGATTTTAAAGATCGTTAATTCTTAATCATCATATCCATGTTTTTGTGATTGGGTAACTTCACCGTGATAAGGGTTTTCGAATGTATAATCAGTCATTTTTTGTCTCAAGACCAAAGCTCCATTAGAAACCTATACAAAGGCAAAATCAAAAATGAGCATACCTAAATGTTGCCGTTGAATTTTAAATGACTAGGTGAACTGTCACAAAATAAATAGCCTATTTCCTTCAGTTTAATTTACTTTTTTCAGAACCTGGATACGACCATTTCTTGTTAAGATATCGATTTTTCGGTTCGATTATATCGATATCTCAGAAACCAATTATCACACAGAAAATCTAAAGGTGGTTTCAAGAGTCGGGATGATTTCTCTAAGAAGATCAATGCTTGTTTATACAGGAAGATTTTATTTCATCTTTGATATGGGCTACAAATGAAGAGAAAAATGGTAAATTTATGTTTTTTTTATTATATTGTAAAACCAAGGGCTGGAATGCAAATATTGACATAATAGCTGATGTTCAGCGTGGCATTTCATTGCTTCATATATCCACAATAACCCAGTGTTCACTTTGATCTACCTAGAATTTTTTTTTCTTTTGAGCCATCGACGTTTCAAACAAATTAAGGATCGCACTTAGGTACTGCTGCTAAAAACTTCAAAATGGAAAACGATCCATTTGGAGCCCATATGAAGGATGAACATTTTTTCCAAGTACTCTTCGATTCTTTAGGAGAATCCATTCCGGCTTCCAAAACCACCCTTGGAAAAAGGAAATTGAAGCTGAATAAACAGGTTATTGAGTACATGCAATGTCTCAGTAGGAAATATTTTTCTAAATCCGTGGACCTAAATAAAAAAATAAAAAAAACTTCTTTTTTCTTTACGTTATGTCCTAGTATTGTCTATAGAACCACTAAAAGTTCACAATTTTTATTTGGCCCCCTTAATCTTTTTCCATTAGTGTATAACCTTTACCTACACAGTTTAATTCTTTTCCGTGATTAAGAAAAACAAAGCATCTTCAATCACTAAAGGAGAAAATGCGTTTCATGCTTAGGTATATTATGATGAAATAGTGTGAGTTTCCCTTAGATATGTGTTATGTTCCATAATCTTATTTTTGAACTTTATGCCTTTTAAAATTGATTCTCAGGTATGATGGAGCAATTCTTATGAATTTTCCAAATGTCCTTAGATAACCCAGGTAAAAAAAAGCTGAACGAACTGTAACAGCGTGCTTCCACCATCATTTAACCTTACAAATTGATTATAATTGCCTCCGCA